CCCAGCCCCAGCCCCAGCCCCAGCCCCAGCTTGACTCACTAGTGGCAGATATGGCCATGATTTGTGAGGCTCTCCAGGGCCCCATGCTGCACTGAGCTACTTCGCTTCCTGAACCCAGAACCCCAACACCCAGCAAAGGCACCATCTCCTTCAGTAGACCCAGAATGAGGGTGGATGGGGGTCTGAAAGCAGGCCAGACCTTGATACCCTCACATCCTCCTCCCCACATGGCTCTGAGCAGAGGTCTGTCCCAGGGCCAGGTCTCACCAGAGCCCTCACCAGGGCCTCAAAAGCTATAAAGCAAATAGATGTCTGCAATGAAAAAAGTGGCACATATTATTACTACTTTTTGTTGTGGCCACAAACAAAAGCATTTGTGGTGTGACAAAGGGCATGGATGATGGCACATAGGCAACATCTGTTGCCAGACTTACAGTACAAGTATTCAGGGGACAATGACAATGCACGATGCCAAAGGGATACGGGCTTCAGTGATGATGCCATTGTCTATTGACTCCTGAAGATGGCATCACATATCTTCCAATGTGGTGAAAACAATCTTTTGAAAGTTTCTCTAAAAGGTGGAGGGTGAAAAAGCCTAATGTAGTACATCCTAATGTAGTGAACACACTTTGGATCTCTCATGGAGTTTCTTCCTCAAGCAGTCTTTCCACTCCGGAGGCACTGGTGAATCTCCAAAATTAAACCATTTAGGGTCTATCTGATGCTTCAGTCTCACACTGAAGGTCTGTGACACCAGCAGTTTCCAAAAGGTCTGCTACCTTTTGCCCAGGTTTTATTGTAAGGTCTGTGGTATACTCATGTATTACCAGGATTGACACCTGAATACAAACCTCCAGTAATGTAGTAATACCTGTAAGGACCGGGATCACTTTTAGTAACCCTTGCATATGGCTGCTCTACCAGAACCAGTTTATCACTGTTCTGGTTCAGACAAGTGCTAGTGGCAAGCAACTGATTTTCACTTGTGGCAGGTACTGCCATAGGAGTCAGCCCCTCATACCTTAACATCCCAGACACTGCTTTCAATGGTCTTCTCAATTTTTCTATAGGCCAGTAAACAAGGTGAATGCATGTTCAGGGTATTAAAATAGCACTCCCCTGCTTTTTATTTACAATACTGGGCCAGCACCTTGAAAAGCCTGGAGTTAGTCCCTGTTACCACAGATGCCTCAAATTCTCTTGGGGTCTGGGCACATCAATCCAACACTGGGTACTTCTTTCTTAATCCCAACAGTTTCCTCTGGAAATTCCAGTTGGCTTATGACATACCTGTTATAAGGGTATTCCTTTTTGCTTAGATCAGACAGTCAATGATAGTGGGTAAATGTCTCAGGTTTTAATTGTAAAATGACTTTAAAATGATGGTTACCTGCAACCCACTTTCAAAGACAGCAGGACACCCTATCCCTTCTATTTTCACCAAGACCTCTGCTTGGGGTCCTGCTAATCCCTGAGGGATCTGAAGTGGTGAGCCTGGCTATATTGGAGTCTTCAAATTTTCAGGGTTTGGGTGACTTTACTCCCTTGACCCTACTCCTTTCCTGACTTCCCAACTAGGCTTCAACTAAAATGGGATTGTCTGCATTTTGGCACTTTGTGGCTACACGCTCATCTTCCCCACACTTACAGCAAAACAATGGCTTGCTTCATATCTACTGTCCCCTGGCCAAGAAGCAGATGTGCCCTTGGCAAGAGCCCACTTTCTGCTGAAAGAAAGAAATTGCAGAGTCCTCTGGACAAGGAAATTCCCTGCCCTGCCTTGGGATGAAGGGCTGGGAGGCAAGGAGAAAGCCAGTGCATTAGGGCCGGTTTCCTTGGGCACAATGAGGGGAGGCTTGAATGGCTGTCCCTGGAAAGGTGACTCTGAAAAGCCTTCTGCACATCTAGACCCGGCTTCCTCGCCATCTTTCTCATCCCCCTGGGCTCCTGTGGCTGGAGCCAGAGCTGCCCAAGAGCTGAGGTTTGGGCCCTGGGGGCTCTGCCCTTCCTACACCTTTGCTTTGGGTTGCTGACCTCCTGTGATCTCCTGAGGCCCCTTTCAGGAGGTCACAGGAGTGACTTCTCTATGCTTTTTGGTTCTATTACAGGTGGGTTCATGAGCACTGGAGGCCTTGCTGGGTTATTCCCATCTGGAGAAATGGACACTGCAAGTCAGGCATGATGTTGAGGCAATCTGTTTATTCACAGCAGTTGCACACACCAGCCCATTTCCCTGGACACAGCAAGCTCACACAGCTGCAGGCAGCTCCCTGTTCACACATGTACAGCCTGCTCTTCTAGCCAGTCTTATGCCCCAGCAGCTCTGCCCCCTGCTTCCACTCACAGCCTGCTCCGACTGTTTCCCAAACACTCCCCATCCCTTTATTTAGTTGTTAGGTCAGAAGTAATCTCACTGCCTGAAAGCACAGTGGTTAACACACCCAGCAGCTTTAACCAGGCTTTGGATCTTTGGCTGTGAGGGGATTTTCCAAGGCCTCCATGACAGCAAGGAAAAGTGCCATTGCCCCTGGGCCCAGCACAAGGCAGAGGTCTCTCCCTTCTCCCCTGGGAGGGCCCAGCACCAGGCCTGCATCCCCCAAGCTGCCACCCTGGCTGCCTGCAGCACAAGGCCCATTGAAGCCCTACGAGCACAGGGATGTAGGCACCAGATTGTCAGTTTGCATGCTGTGGTACTAGCCTATTGGAATGAAAGGGTTTATAGGGACATGGCAAGTGACCACCCCAGCTCACACAGCCTATGCCCTTCCCTCTCATGCTTCTGTCCCAATATGAGGCAGCAATATAATATATTACACTCCTCCTCCCTTGGCTCTTGGGCCTTGGGTGTATGTATTGGTATAAGCAAGCATCTCTCTGTTCTGTTGTGAGAGACCACACTCATTAGGCTCCAGTGCCAGGATAGAGTTGGTGGCTGAGCCTAGATCATATTAACTTTGAGGTGCAGGATTTAGGCCTCCCTGCTCTGTTTGTTATCTTCTACCAGTAGCTCAGGCAGTTCCTTGCACAGCACACAAGTGGCCCATTCCTAGACACCAATCTCTCCACAAGAGTCCTGTACAGAGTGAGGGTTTCAGCTCTGAGAAAAGGATCTCATTGGGCAGCACGGCTCTCATCTCCCCTGAGGGGTCCAGCCCTGTGGAGTGGGCTGTGAGCTGCATGGTGTCTGGCCTACTGCTATCTCTCCGCATGGAGTGAATTTCCCTCTGTCTGCAGCACTAAATCATGTGTCATGGCCTGGAGCCTGCTCCATTATGACAATGACAGTGTGACCTTTGGGGATCAGGCCACTTATCAGAACTGGAGGCCTTTCCCAGGTTGTTTCCATAAGTAGGACAAACAGACACTGAGTCAGGTGTTATGTTGGTGCAACCTGGTTTATTTATGGCAATAGTGCACACAGGCCCAATTCCCCGGATGCAGCAGGGTCACACAGCAGCAGGAAGCTCCCTGCTCACACATGCCAGCCTGCCTTTCCAGTGAGTCCTGTGCCCCAAGAGCTCTCTCCTCTACTTCCACTCACAGCCTGCCTCACAAAGTTTCCTGAACACTCCCCCTCCCTGCCCCTGCATCTGCAACCAGGTCCAGGACAATCCTCAGGCCATTCAGGCCATGCTAGGTACTCTATTGTCCTGGGCAGGAGTTTCTACAACATGAACTATCTCACTCTCCAAACAGGCAGTGTACTTAGTACGTTAGGGTGTCTTTACATGCGCTCCGGGGATAGAGCGGCTCCAATAGCTGCTCTAATTAAAGCACCCACAGTGTCTCGTGTATTCAGCGTCCCCATGCTTTAAAATGGCAGCAGGGCACTTTAACTAAAACTTGTTCAATGAGCCAAAAAGCACTCTGCCACCATTTTGAAGTGTGGGGACACTGAATACACAAGATGTGGAGGCTGCTGGAGAATATTAATTAGCACGCTCCAACAGACTTGATTAATCGAGTCTGCTTTGACTTGCTAAAATTACAGCATGTCAGAGCAGCATCCCTATATGTCTACAGGCATCCTTAAAGCATGTTTACACCTGCTCTAGGAGTATGGGGGGGCAGTGCTTTAATTAGAGTGGTTCCAAGATCCACATGGAGTGCTGCTGCATCTCGTGTATCAGCATCCCCACACTGAAAAATGGTGGCAGGGGTGCTTGAACTAAAGCTTGTTTCTCAATTAATTGAGTCTGTTGAATCTGCTCCGACACACTAGTACCCCTTGAATGGTAGTATTTAACCTTGCAGCAGCACCGCAGACTTGTCCAAAATTTCACTTTGGAGCCTTGGGTACAGGCAGGACTGGTGTGACTGACAGTGGGACTCTGGTTGCTGTTATAACCTCTGGGGGAAGAATAACTTGGCCATTGTTCTTTGAAGGGCCCATCTCACGTCCTTGTTTCTCAGGCTGTACACCATGGGGTTGAGCAGGGGAGTGAAGAGTGTGTAGGATATGGCAATGAGCTTGTCCTGCTCTGGTGAGTGGATGGATTTGGGCCTTAGGTATTCTATGGCAGCACAGCTGTAATGCACAATGACTATAGTCAAGTGGGCAGCACAGGTAGAGAAGGCCTTGTGCCGGCCCTTGGCCGAGGAGATCTTGAAGATGGCAGTAAGGATGAGGATGTAGGAGATCAGAATCAGTAGTAGCGCCATGACAAGGAACAGTATGCCAGCAAGGAACACAACACCTTCTGGGAGGCTGCTGTCAGTGCAGGCCAGCTGGAGCACCGGGGAGGTGTCACAGAAGAAATGGTTGATTGTGTTGGGGCCACAGTATGACAGGTGGAATATGAGGTAAACTATTACAATGGAAAACAGGACACCACTGAGGAAGCAGGCAACCACCAGGCCGGCACAGGCACATGGGCTCATCAGCACTGGGTAGCGCAGGGGGTGGCAGATGGCCACATAGCGATCATAGCCCATCACTGCCAGCAGGAAGCAGTTGGTACTGGCAAGGGTCCCAAAGAAGAACATCTGCAGGGCACAGGCAGGCAAGGAGATGAGTTTGCCCTTGGACAGCAACATGGCCAGCATATTGGGGATGACGACAAAGGTGTAGCAGGTCTCAGAGAGCGAGAAGGTGAACAGGAAGAAGTACATGGGGGTGTGCAGGGCACTGTCTAGCCCAATGGCCATCAAGATGAGCACGTTGGCCATCAGCGTGATGATGTAGATGAGGAGAAGGACAGTAAACAGGACATAGCGCAGCTGTAGGGACAGAGAGAATCCAACCAGGAAGAATTCAGTCACCGAGGTGTCATTGCCCCTTCTCAGGCTGGGCTGGAGCTGGTGTTGCGAGGAGAGAAATAGAGATCTAAGGGACTGTCTCCATGGCAAAGGCTGTATGCCCTGCCATGACATTCCTGAGCACCACTTTGCCCTCCTGTCTCCTTGAACTCTTCAAATCCAGTCATCCACTCGGGCACCTTTCTGTGTCCACTTACAGATCTGCTTGAGACTGCTACAGGGAGTCATAGTCATAGAGACGTAGGGCTGGAAGGGACCTCCATGGGTTATTCAGTAGTCCAACCCCCTGCCTGAGGCAGGGCCGTCCCTATCCAAATCACGCCATACAAACCATAATCTAAACTCCACATAAGACTGCTGTCAACCCTGACACAACACACACCTATAACCCTAACTTGCTACAGGTACAGCATGTGAACCATGGCAGCCAATGTCCTGCTTCTCTAAAATGTTGTCAATATATAATCACAATGTTCTTGGTTAGAGGGCCATGCCCCTGCTACAGAGGAAGGACACCCCCCACCCCCCATAATCCATACCAATCTGACCATGGTGTAAAATTCCTTTCTAACCCCAAATATGGCATCGGTCTGACCCTGAACAGAAGGGCAAGACGCTGCTAGCCAGGAACCTCCGGTTTTGGTTAGAGCATCAGCACAGCTCAATCAAATTTCCCTGCCTTGGCTGTAACCAACACTCAATGCCTCTGGGAAGGCTGAAAAACACACTGACACATGTAGCAGGAAATGGGGAGGTAGTGGGTGACAAGCAGTGAAGCCCAGAGGCATGGCAAATATCCATAGTACAACATAGGCATAGCTGTGCCTAGATTATCCCTGACCAGTGGCTGTGACTCCAGTGTGGCCATACTGGCATATATCCAGGTGGCACTGAGTGGGCAGGTCAGGCTAGCTCTGCTGCCAGGCTAGAGGCATACAGTAACTGAGCAAAATCCAATTCCAGCCTATGCTCTGACTGCCTCTACCAGCCACGTGTCTTGGGGGAGAGGCAGGAAAGCAAGGGGGGGCGATAACTTTGTGTTTTACCTCTTCCACAGAGCTCCCAGCTATGACAAGCTGGAATCAGGAAAGAATGTGTATGGCTGGGCTAACTGCCACCTGCTGACTTGATTTCAAGTACAATCTGCCCCAGTGTGCATGTGTATCTGCCCAGACTCACAACTCACGAGCTGACCTGTTTTTCAACATGCTTCACTTTCCAGGACAGAGGAAGTGTTAGAGAAATGCCCCATTCTGGCTGTTTCCTAGGCTTGTAATGAAAACTCCATCCTCAGCAAGACAAATCTTTCTGTCCTTGCACTTTCCAAATGCACCCATCATAGGAATGAGAGGATTTTGGCAGCAACTGGGATGAGGGTTTCATTCTTGACAGCACATGGGATAAAAGGCAGACTGCAGATGCAATACAAAAACTACCCACTTGCACACTCAGAGGCTGGGGCACAAGGGGACATGGAAGGTGCGCAGCCAGATGCAGATCTGAGCCATCACACCTAGGCAGTTCTGCCCCCTGTGTCATGGACTACTGCCCCTATCCGAGCAGCAATGACCATGGAAGCCTGGAAGCTGTTGGTGCTCAGTAGGATGGAAGAAATGTGATCGTTCCCCCTAGACACCAGGCCCTCTCTGCCCAGGCAGGTTCCACCCATGAATCATAGCAAGCTCCTCATGTGGTGACTCATAGGCTCATATTAGAGCAGGGGTGGGCAAAATATGGCCCCCTGGCTAAATCCAGTGTGCAGTGGGTCCATTGGCCCTGCCTGGTCCAGGTTTGGGAGGCAGCCTGGGCCATGGCACATGCTGCCAGTTTCATCACCCCAAGGGCATGGTGGGGTAAGAGCGGCATGGTGGCCAGACTCTCTGCCCTGCTGCCACTTCCAGTCTGCCCTGTACCCACTACTGGGGGTGCTGGACAGAGAGGGTGGACAGGCAGGGTCTCCATGGAGTCCTGCCTGGGAGCCTAGGGGGCAAGGCATGCTCAGCCATGCAAATGGGATGAGGGTGTGGGTGGACAGGTAGGGAGTGGCATCCAGGAGCAAGATGGATGGGTAGGGACCTGGGGCAGAGCTGCAATCTGCTTAGGGCAACCACTTTTTAAAAATGGAAAGGCAAAATGAAATGAAAAATGGAAAATCCAGGACAAATGCTGTCCAGAATCATTCAGCCTGGGACTGGGACTTGATTTTTGCATTTGAGGACTGTCTCGCCCAATTAGGGATGGGTGGTCACACTAGATCTGCTTCCTGCCTGCCCACAGTCCTATCCCATCTGCCTGTAAAAGCATGCCCTGCCTGCAGGGGTCCCAGGCTGGTCTCAACAGAGACCCCACCTGCCCACTTGCTTTGTCTGGTGCCCCCAGTTGCCTCCCCACTGTGCTGGACTGGGTTAGCATAACCACCCTCCCCGCACTGCATTGGGCCTTGTCAGCAAACCCCCACCTCCAAGCCTGCAACAGATCACTGAAACTCCTTAAGTGGCCCTCCAGCCCAAATAATTGCCCACCCTTTTCTTAGAGTGGGCATGCTCAGCCATGCAAATGGGATGAGGGTGTGGGTGGACAGGTAGGGAGTGGCATCCAGGAGCAAGATGGATGGGTAGGGACCTGGGGCAGAGCTGCAATCTGCTTAGGGCAACCACTTTTTAAAAATGGAAAGGCAAAATGAAATGAAAAATGGAAAATCCAGGACAAATGCTGTCCAGAATCATTCAGCCTGGGACTGGGACTTGATTTTTGCATTTGAGGACTGTCTCGCCCAATTAGGGATGGGTGGTCACACTAGATCTGCTTCCTGCCTGCCCACAGTCCTATCCCATCTGCCTGTAAAAGCATGCCCTGCCTGCAGGGGTCCCAGGCTGGTCTCAACAGAGACCCCACCTGCCCACTTGCTTTGTCTGGTGCCCCCAGTTGCCTCCCCACTGTGCTGGACTGGGTTAGCATAACCACCCTCCCCGCACTGCATTGGGCCTTGTCAGCAAACCCCCACCTCCAAGCCTGCAACAGATCACTGAAACTCCTTAAGTGGCCCTCCAGCCCAAATAATTGCCCACCCTTTTCTTAGAGTGACAATATAGAGCTATAGCCTGTACTCTTCAGCAGCAAAGAGCCCCCTGATTTATATCCCTGCCTCCCCCTGCATGAAGCCCTGATTGCTGACAGTCAAGGGAGCCCTAAGTAGAGTTGTGGATTGATGGCAGAGCACCTGGGTGCCTTCCCAGGGATCATCATACCCAAAGGACCGTAATGACCAGCTGATGCTGCCACGTCCCTGGCAGAAAGAAGCTGACGTCTATTGGCAACTGCAGAGAGATTCCGTTTTGGGGGCTGTGGAGGAGGAGGTGAGGGGAGAAAGGGTTCATTTACATCTTGCCTTTGTGTTCAATATATCCGCAGAGCTGTCGAAAATGGAACTCTTGTCTCAGTTGCTCCAGGAGGCACCGACCTACCAGTGTGTCTGGAAATGGCTCCAGAAGGTCTCCTTGGCCACGTCCCCAAAGAGCTAAGACAGAGTCAGTTGCCGTGTGTGAGTTGCTCCGAAAGGACGGTGAGTCCAGAAAAGGAAGCAGCCTCTGCATGGTGCATCTGTGCAGTGATGAATGGGAGAACAGGAGCAGCTTAGTAGGAAGGTCAGTGGAGCTGCATCTGTCTGTCCTGAAAGCCAGGATTCTCTCCCTCTTACAGACATTCTCATTTCCTCTGCCCCAGCTCCCAGAGGTGTAATGACCTGGAGGGGCTGTTGTTTATGTTCATGTTTGTGGGCTTCTGGGACCCGGTCTCTGACATGCTCCATCTTCCCAAAGCCCTGCCCATGAGACACCTGGGAAATGCAGACACTGCCCTGCTCTGAGGGACACAGGCATGAGTGACTGGTGCCTCCTGAATCTGGGGCGGGAGGGCACCCACAGAAGCTGCTGATGGTGATGGCCCTGTCAGGGGAGACACCAGCCCTACTGACAGCACCAGTGTCAGCCATCAGGGTGCCAGCCATCATTACAATAATGGTGAATACCTCAGTTTCCTTGTCTTTCTTGTGCACTAGGAAAGAATGGGTTAAGGTGACTCTGACTTAGGCTTGGAGTGAAGGCTGGGTTCTGCACTAAAGGTAGCACTCTGTTCCCTTTCTGATCATCTAGGCACACAAATCTGGTAGTCTACAAGGTGCTTTTGGTTGCCAAAGCCCCCTTATGCTCAGGTTGGAATTTTGTTCCTGGGCATATAGCCCTACACACATGGACAACTCATGAATATGCAGTTGCATAGCCTGAGTCAGTAAAGTAGCAGCTAGAATATATATTAAGCTTTAAAAAAAATAACAAAGTAGGCAAAAATAGTCAAAAGTTCTTGTGTCATTAGTCCTGTAGTCATTATACTTAAATGCACATCTCTTATTTAGATTGGGCATCTTGACAGTGCCTTTAATATTTCAGCATCAGTCAATGCAATCTGAATTAATATTACCACACCTGAGTTAAGGTTTTAAGCTAGAGCTAAAACAGCCTGGAGTGCAGTGAAACAGGAGAGAGACATTACCAGGAATGGCTAACAGACAGCACAATTGCAGAAGAAAGGGAAGGAAAGACTCCTCAGTTCTATTCCTATCTCTTCCACTGACTCAGCAAATGGCCTTGGATGAGTCACTTCACCTTCCCCCTCTGTCAGCTGAGACCATGCTTGTCCTAGGAGGCTATGAGAACGTCGTGGAGGTGCCTCCAGGAACTGAGGTTTGCCCAGCAGATTAAGAACTGCTGAGAGCTGCAGTCCAGTGAAGATTCCTGCCTGGAAAGAACGGCTGATGCAGAGGCAGGGGCAGGGGCAAGGGCAGGGGCAGGGATAGGGGCAGGGAGGGTGAAGGGGGCAGAGGCACAGGGCACAGGGCACCAGAGTATTCACAACCTGGCAGGGAGGGA